ATATATATGAAAATCCTTGAAGTACTACAAAGGACAGTGCAAATGTACACCATTGTTACTACAAGGTCTCCTGCAACATGTTTTCTAAACAGCTTCACACTTGCCCTTCTTGTTTGTGCCGGGCAAGCTGAACACAATTAATTTCCTTAAGTATAGACACAAGCAATCTTCTGTTACTACACACGAAAGGAGGTGATAAGATACTGCTTTCAGAGTAGATGACAGCAGTCTTGCTCCAACAAACCTTTTGGGGAATCCACAGAAAGCTAAACCCCATCTGCCCAGTCTTTCTAAGATTCAGAGGCATGAGTTAAAGCCCCTGTGAAAACTGTAATTTCAATGTGGGTTTAAACTTTAACAGCTTTGGTATCCATCTGTAAAATGTCATTTCTGTTGGTTCCATCTTAGTAGCTCAAACAATAGAAAAAAAAAATCCCATACCCACTTCTCTCAATGAAATGTAAAACTACAGTTTCCCTATAATGTATGGGCACTTAAGCTATACTAATTTATGGTACAGTTATTTTTATTTTTTAGCATTTTTATTTGGTTCTTTTACTACATAATTAATAGTGTTTACATGGAAAGGTTGTTTAACTAATGTAAATGGCATAAGTGGATTACTGAGCAAGCCTTAAAACAAATAAACATTTTTCTCCTTTGAAAATATTTTTTCAGTGTCTTTAAATGTCTGGCACAAGAGCAGAGTTTTTAAAATGTCAAAAGAGATACAGAATTTAGATTTCTGAGGTCCATTCTTCCCAGGGAACAGGCTTATAATTTTGTGTCCTACAATGATTGGCTTGGAGGGGGGTCAACAATGACTCCAATGGCCCAACAATCCCACACTCAGAGGCATGTCTTTTTGTTGGGAGGATGCCAGTTTTTCTCAATGACCCTAAACATAACACAATATCTGAACCTTACTGATCATTTCCTGGGGAATTTTCAGGAATGAGGATGAGAAACTCATGGCATAAATATAACCAGAAAATGACAGGGCAGGAAACAGCTCTTGTTTCCAAATACTTCTACCACCACAATTACATCACCCAATTGTGACAATTCCTGGGATTGCCCCACCTAGCCAAAATTCCTATCACATGTTCTTGGAATGGAAGCACAGAGATAGGTTACCATAAAATAGAGCTGGCATGACAGTCACTACCTGCCAAGACACATTTTTCTCAAGCATTCAGAAAAGAAAGTTTTGACATCAAAGGCCATTTCTTTACTCCAGCCTTCCCAGAGGCAAAGAGCCAAGGCGGCAGGAATAAAGATGCCTCTCCTCACACTCACATGTTCAGACTTTAGGAGGCATTACGAGGAAAAGCCTGAGCTCAACTCATCTCTGTAAAAAAAGATAATACATCCTGGAGTTATCTCAGGAGTCACAGACCAGACTGTCCCAGCAGACGTTCGCTAGAGTAGGGTTCGGCCTCAGAGCTGACTGCTAAGCAGAAGGGTTATTTAGATCAAAGAGAACAACTCAATCCAAGGGAGTTCTCAACAGATCAGAAACAGAGACCCCTGCTTCAGTCTTATCCGGTTGCCTAGGGGTTAACCTGGAACTGGAGTCCAGACTTAGAGGACAAAATGCAGGTAAAATGCCAGTCAAATGCCTACAGAAAGCATGTTTTGAATTGTACAAGACCCAAAGTTACCCTAAGGCCTCCACTTTTACTCTCCTATCACCTGAATCATATTAAAAGTTATGCATGTCATACACCTAATGATTTGTCTATAAAATGACTTTTTTATAATTCTACTTTTGAAATTACTTTGTTAAATTAACAAACTCAAAATATGCTATGATTACTCAATATTCCTTAGATACATTTAGGAACTCTCATTTGGAGAGGATATCTCATCTAAAAACTGTTTTCAAATGTAATGAAGTTGTTAGGAATGCTAAAACCAGATATCAGTGAAACTGACACCATGTTCTATTTGTGACCACTGAATAAATGTTATTAATTTTGCTTGGGCTGCTAATGAGGTTGTTTTTTGGGGGAAGATAATCATTCTTCCTGGTCAGATTCCAGATATTTCCAAAGGCAAACCTATTACCAGAACGGGGATCCCTGAACATAGAAAGCAAAGCGGTCTTCTGTGATAAAGGCCCTCAGCCAGGTATTTCCAGGTAACAGGACATCTACCAGAGCATCCACTACAGTGGTTATCAGAAACTCCCAGTTATTCTGTGGGACTTCCACCCTCAACTGAAACAATATGGGGGTGGTTCCCAGTCATGTGCCATCACTGAACAAGCTAAGAAGTTATTTCTAATTCAAATTATAAAAGTGGACAACTCAGAGAAATTTATCAATAACCAACAGTAAAAAGCCTTCATTGTTGGACTTTGATGAAGCCATTTTTTTCCTTCAGTTTGTGAAATCATGTTTCTAAGTCCAATGTGCTTTACGAAGTTTCATTTTTCAATGAGAAATGAGATTTAAAAGGTTCTCTGGAGTAACATTTCTAGGAAGCTTTTCTATTACTCCACAAAATGTAAATTATGCATGCTTTACCAAGAAGTTTATTACTACACCGAAAATTACTTCTTTAAAGACAATCTACCAGCAATTGTTAGGTGAAGTGACTTTTTCCCTCAGAAAGATTAGATCTTACTAGAGTGTATCAAGTCAAAATCAACCATAAGTAGTCAGCTTGCAGTCATAAAAGTCCCCTTTTAGATACCAGCAAGTGGTGATCGACAAAATATAAACTTGAAAATTGTACTTCCTAAATGTATTGTCTAGCAATATCATATAATCATGTGGTTTGTATAAAGGATTCACTCCTAACTTTGGTTTGCTTTACATCTTTTGTGTGTGTGTGTGTGTGTGTGTGTGTGTGTGTGTGTGTGTGTGTGTGCGCGCGCGCACACCAGGGATCAAAATCAGAACCTTGTGCTTTCGAGGAAAGCGGCAGAACCACAGGGCTAAATCCCCAACTCATGTATCTTTTTTAAAGTCACAGAATACACATTGAGCAGATAGTGGCAAACCCATAAATACCGGCAGTGGACAGCACAGGATGGAATTCCAACACTGCCATTGATTAGTTATGAGAATTTGGGCAAGTTATTAAGCCTTCATTTCTTCAGCTGCAAAATGGTACTAATAATACTTATAAGATTGTTCTCGGGATTAAACAAGTTAATGAATGTAAAGCTTTGAGCGATCGATAAATGTTAGTTTTGAGTATAATTATTTATTCATTATTTTCTATTTATAATACCAACACTTAAGTTGCCACAACTACACTATGGCCTATTTTGCTTCTTCTTCCACTCTTTCCTGTTCTAAACCCTTCTCATCTCTTTCTCAAAGCTGAGGGACCCTTTCAGAAGAGAAAAGTGATCAGCCCAACCCTCTTCCCATATAGGGAAAGAAAGAGTCAAATAAAAAGGATTAAAGGGCTGGAGATTTAGCTCAGTAGTTCTGCCACCTGCCTCACAAGTGCAAGGTCCCAAGTTCAATCCCCAGTACCAAAAAAAAAAAAAAAAAGTCAAACAGAAAGAGGATAGTCTCCAGCTTCCCTTAGCATAAAGGCTGTGCCTGGGTGGTCTGGATCAGGTTTATCTTCTCCCCAGTGCCCTCTATGCCTCAGCTACACTGATCAGTCTTTGAGCTCTGACCTGGTCCCAGACCCTTCTATCCCAGTCCAAAAGCTAGTCTTCTACTAGCTCACCCTCCTGCATTTTTCATAAGTCATACTCCTTTCTTTCAAAGAAAGCACTTTGATCAAAAAATGCATGACCTATTTTAAGGACAAGTTCCTAACGTCTGCCTTGTCTCCCCGATTTTTAAATTTTGAAAGAACGTGGCTGCCAGTTCTGCTCACCCTATTCCCCATGACTTAGTTCAGCCAGGACCGAGGACAGTAAATAGATCATAAATTAATGAACATATGCATGGAGGAGTTAAAATGGCCTAAACTATAGGGTCAAAAAACTGGTTCCCAGGGCTGGGGATTTAGCTCAATGGTCCTGGCGCCTACCTTGCAAGTGCAAGGACCTGAGTTCGATCCCTGGTACCACCAGAAGCTTGTTATTAAATATTTGGTTGCCCCCAAACATGGTATCACTTACCTAATTTTTCACTGGTCTCCTCCCCTTCTTCCTTCCCTCCTTTCCTTTGTTATATATATATATTTTTTTCACTTATTTAATTTTTCACTGGTCTCCTCCCGTTCTTCCTTCCCTCCTTTCCTTTGTTTTATACATTTTTTTTCACTCGGCTTTTGTTTTTGTGTCACTGTACCTGTTTCAAGGTTTAAGTGTCAACCGCAGAGACAAGGCGGCTGGGACAGGGACCTGACTGGAAAGGAGGAGGTTCGGCGAGCAGCGCGAGCGGAAGTGCGGCGCGCGGGCGGAAGTGCGCCCGGCGCGAGCGGAAGTGCGGCCGCGGGATGGCAGCGCCAGCGGTGCTAGGCCCAGGTGGGTCCCCGCGTTCGCGTGCGGGCGGTGGGCGCACCGCTGTGGAGCAGGTGGGAGAGGCAGGCCAGCGAGACCCCTCCGCTGCGTCGTACGCTGCCAACTGCTATTGTCCTGAGAGGGAGATTAATTAAACCGGGAGCTATAAATCCATGAGCCCTGGGGAGATTATAAACGCGCGCGTCTGTGCGCGGTGTGAGGGGGAGAGGGAGAGAACGGGGAGCCCTCTGCAAGGTAAATAATATGACGGGAAGGAAAAGGAAGCTTTTAAGAGAAAGTAGAAAACGTCTGCACTTCATACATCTCCCACTGACACACAGATGCTGGTTCCGCTTTTAGTAGAAGTCTGTGAAGTGGCAATATGATCACGCTTGGCTGCCAGCGGAGATGACTGCCTTTTAAAATAAATACTTTTGAGCAGCACATTGACCTTTAATTGGGGTGAAAAGGTTGAAAGGGGTGGGAGGGAAACACTAAATGTCTGGCATCTCTGGACCCAGCTGTCTAGACCACTCTCTGGGCTTTATTGGGCAGAAGCAGCCCTCTTGGTGCTGAACAAAGAGAATAAATAAGAGACTACAATTCCCAACGATTAGCCTTATCAGAAACCTCTGACGAATATCAGTTCATACAGCTTTTTAGTAAGTTCAAGGATCGGAAAGTCCGCACTAAATTATCACCAACATGAATAGACAGGAGATTGTTTCCAAGGCTCTCTAACAAGCTTTTGCCTGGATGATCTTTTTTTTGTTGTTGTTGTTGACAGTTTAATTATCTGAGATCAGCAGATGACAAGATGTAATAAATGAATGGAAACAAGATTTTTCAAACTTGGGAGAAAGGTGAGAACTTTTAGGCCAGTTTAGGTTTAGTCATTCACCAGATTGGATTAACACTGAAAATAAGACTTCTTGTGACAAAAGCAAAACAATATATTAAAATCAGTTCCCAGGGTTGTCCAAATTACCTTTTAGACATGGCTTAAATTTGTGTGCGCACATGCACACTGGCACCTTCACACAGAACTACATCCTTTGCCCATTCATTTATGTATTTGGGGATTGAACCCAAGACCTTTGCACTGAGCTACATCCCTGGCCCTCTTTTTTTTTTTTTTTTTTTTTTGCGGGGGCGGGGGCAGGATCTTGCTAAATTGCCAGGCTGGCCTCAGGCTTTTCATCCTTCTGCCTCAGCCTCCCAGGGTGCCTGGATTACAGACAGGCAAGTGCCACCAAACCCAACTTTTAACATTGCTTTTATGTCAAATTCTCTTTGTTAAATCTGTTCAAAATACTATATTGCAGTTTAGGACTTAATTTATATGTCTTGAGAGTACCCTAAATTTTGATGGTCAAGACACCTTACACCTAATGCTGTGATGGTAGACCTTTTAGAGCTTTCAAGGACTCAGCCCCCTGTGGCACATGTGCCATAGGCTCACCACCACTGCCCTAATGGCTAACATCTTCCCTTTAAAATGTCTTATGTGTATTTTCATTAAGTTGTCATTCTCAAAGATTTACTGGAGAGAAGCCAGTGGTGAGAGTGCACGTAAGGGCCTAGGTTTGATCTCCCAGTACTGAAAAAAAGAAAAAAAAAATTCTGAGGAAAAAAAGATATTAATTAAACATCTATAAATTCCTCTTCACTTCTAGTGTAACAGTTTATCATCTATCCCATACTGGTCTATCAACAGAGTAAGGCTTAGTTTTTTGTTTTCTTCAGACATAGCTGACTACAACTCATAAAGCAACAGCCAGCTACAGCTTGCCACTTCTTTATCAACAGCTGTAACTACGAGAGGTCATTCTTTGACCTATACGTTTTGACTGGTTTTAGCCTCGGAAGGAGTTCTTCCTTCTCCTGCACCTGCTTCACCAATTTTGCTCTTTCTTCCTTTAATCCTTGTTTAAGAATCTCATTCACAGAATCATTTTGGAGATTACTGTATGACCTAGTACGAAGCGAATTAGATTCACGGGCACTGATATTTTTTAGAATATTTTTCAAGTATTTTTTAATGTATTTTCTTTAGATTCACCGTGTGTTTCAAACTTTCTTGAAATTCTAAGCAGTTTTCTTCTGTTGAAAATGCTGGTTTCTCTGAAAAGTTCTCATCATTTTCTTCATTCTCTATTTTAAGACATTTTACTACATTGACCAGGAATTAAATGAAAATCTTGTTTTCCTTAATCTTTAAGTGTTGCACCCATGGGTGCTTTCTGTGAACTATTTCTATGGGGAAATGGAGGATTTGCACAGGCCTGTGGAGTGCTAGGTAAAATCACAGCCAAATCTGATGGGTTTTCTGTATTGGAAATGAAATATTGGTTTGGAAGTTCTCCCACCTTCCCGCCATTGCAGAAAGCCCACAACCAGGCAGAGACCACAAGCCTGAGGCAGTGCAGAGTCCTCCACAGACACACTATGTCCGGGTCACAGTCGTCTCCCAGGCCGGATCTTTATTCGTAATAGATAATGTTTATATAGTACTTTTTATGATAGGGCCCCTAAAAAATCCACAGTATGGCCCAGCACGAACCACAGTCTCTCAGTTCTTCAAGGATGGGTTGTATGTTACTGTGTATTCTAGCACTTCTAGCACATTTCCCAACATAAGCTGGAGTCCTTGGTTAATTGGTCACTGAAGCTATGTCTCAGTGCAATTACTCTGAGCATGAGGAGGTGGCTGTGAGAGGCCACCATCTTCTCATTTACTAGTATTTTGTGGAATGTTTATGAAAATATATGTGAAGCTCCACCAACATTTGGAACTGTGTACACTGAGGTACATTACTGATAAATGACAGATTTTTAAAAGTGGAAATACCGAGTGACTATCATATCACTGGGACATAGCAGAACTAATTATGGTTCTGTGTGAAATGTTGTAGTCTAATAACCTGGGTTTTGTTCTACTAATGCATTGCTTGGACTCAGGCTCAATTTGGAAAAATAAGATTTGTGGGATGCTTTAGACAGGCCCAAGATTTTCTTTTTTTCCCTGCTTGCTATAGTCCAGTAGTAGCCACTTGCCAAGGAAAGATGACATTGTTTTTTACTCCACCAGAGAATATGTGGTTATGTAGTTTTATTTAGTTGTACTATTTACCAGTAAGTAATAATAATGAGGACTTGTCTAATGGGACTTTATTGGACTGTGTTTTGTGTTCCAGTTGCCTGGCTCTACCATATTCTTAAGTATCCAGAACCATTATGGAGCAATGTGTTCAAAATAAGTTTATTTTAAAGTCTTTGTATTTCATTACTTGTACATACTTTCACCAACTGATACACGCAGTTACTATAATCCTAGAGCTTGGAGTTTCAGAAATAGCGAGAGCTTGGGGTGATCTGGTACTAGTAGTGAGCTTTTCTGTGTTCATTATTCAAAATCCAGTTTTTGTGACTGCTTTGTTGAAGGAGTATATACCAAAAGAAGCCAAAAGCCAGCTGGAATAGTTCGTGAGTGTGATTTTACTCTTGTTTGCAGTTATTTTGAAGGGAAGAAACCCTCTGCATCAGGTATGTGTAGCTACACAGGTAGCAAGAACTCAGTAAGATTCCATCATCTTTCCCCATGTGTAATATAGCAGTTTCTAGGGACAGAATCAATTGAGGTAGGCCTTTTACACATCCAAAGGCGAGCTGGGAAAAGAGGAGGAGGAGAGAAAGGGGAGATAAAAAGGACTTAGACGTGATATGTATATGTACCAACTCCCCACAATGGGTGCATTCGTTTCATCTTTCGAACGTGTACTAATAGAAAAATCACTGGGAAAAGAATATGCAAAGTGAAAAGTTTTAGTTATGGTTAGCATAGATATATGATCCATATCCTTAATTCCTCACCCCAGTAAAGGCATAGGAATAAAGAAGCATGAAAATGTTACACTCTTTTTATTGTAGTTCTTACCTAAGTTAACTCTCCACAGATGAAGGCAAAATTCATTGTCCACTATCATTAGAAAGTATTTATTTTCAAGGATTCAGAACATTTCACTAATGTCTTAGTCCTTTCTCTGTTGCTATAACAAAATCACTTAGATTGGGTACTTTACAGAGTGAAGAAGTTTATCTGCCTCATGACTCTGATGGCTGGAGGATCTCAACACTGTGGCACTGCAGTGCGGTTAAGAATCCCCTAGCTGTGTCATATCATAATGGAGACACAGAAAGGGAGCTGGCTGCATGCAGAAGGGGCGAGTGAGTGGGACGACCTCACTTTGTAGCACTCACTCTTAAAAGAACTAATTGACTCTGAGAAATAAGCATGAAACCGTTGTTTGCCCCCGAAATCCATTTGTTAACTACTTTCCAGTAGGCCTTTCCTCTTAAAGGTTCCACTACCTCAGCACCACTTCGTGGAGGACCACGGATTTACAAATGTGAAGGGGAACTGGGAAAAGAGGAAGAGGAGAGAAAGGGGAAATAAAAAGGACTTAGATGTGATATGTATATGTAACAAGTCGTGTGGAACAACTTCATGTTCCAACACGTGAATCTTTGTGGGATATGTTCAAGCCACGTCCAAGCTGCGGCAATCAGTAGTAATAACTTGTAACAGTCATTTTCTTGTTACAGCCTTCATGAAGGTAGTATTGTGTTGTCAATCTTTCCTCTGCCCGAGGTGTGAATTTCTTAAGGGCAGGAAGATATTTTAATCGCTTGCATATTTCCAGGACCTAGCATGTGGCACACATTTCCCCACATGCTACAGAAAGGCAAAGGCAGTATCCCTGAAGGAAGGTTGACTCTATACAGGGTGTGAAAATATTATTGTGAATGCAACCAGGTAGAGAAAATAATACAAAATAATAGTCTCCTTTCCCCAGAGTTACTAAAAGCAGTTAGAAGTAATTCTTTAACAGCTTAGAGCAGGGAAGGCATGTTCGAGAGTTCATAAATGGTCCAAATGTGCCTTTGAAGAAGATCTGGCATGCTCAGGTACAGGGCCTTTGTTGTGCGGACTGGAATATACAAGCTGCAAGACCCTCCCAGCC